TCTGCCTGTGTTTATTGAATGAATTACCTTCAAGCTTTATTATTAAAAGTACTATAGAATACCAGTCATTTCATCTTCAGTAATGCAACTGAATGTTAAAAAGTCATTAAGAGCATTTTAGTCACTCAATATATAATGGCTGAATGAATATGTACAAGGCAATGGTTTTATATCTACTTCCTTTATTTCTTTATTATTGTTGTTATTTCTATTTCAGTGGAGAGTACAGTGCCAAAGTAGAATAGTTTCAAATAAAGGCAAATCAAAGTGAAAGGCTAGCTGTAGTCTAATCAGCTGCATTAAATATCCATATTTCTTGCTTATAATAAAAGACAGAATCTTAAATTAATGCTTCTGAGGGTCTATATGTTTTAAAGGTGCAGGGGACTTATAAAATTTTATTGAGTATGATTTTAACTCAGATCTTGTACAAAACTGAATTCTTATGCTCCATATTTGCAAATTCAATATCAGTGCTATGAATTGGCATTTTAAATAAATAACCCATTTTTTTCTTTGACTGGCCATTATTATGCCATATAATAGACATTGTATGTCTCCTTGTAAATAAATACAATCTTTAGAAAATTGCTGTTTTGGATTCTGTCTCTACACCTGTTCTCAAATCTGTTCATATTTATGTTTCATATTACTCCCTGAACTTTAATCAATGACACAAGAATTGGGCATGTAATACAATAATTCTTTAAATAGCTGTTCAAGATATTAAGCATATTGTATTGAAACCATATCAACATATTTAAAAATATCCATTGTTTTGTGAAACTTTAAAAGAATGAAATGTTTAGGTGAAACAAATACAAGTTACTATTTTTGGATTTCTTTTTTCTGTTTATAATTATAAATGGCTGTCTTTTTCTCCTGATAGAAGTTTGTGTCAAAATCACAAGAAAAGTGGCTTTAAAATCCATTGGACTATCTACTCTGGTAGAATGGCATTTTTCTGCAAGTGTTCTCTAGGTAGTCCAGTATAACCTATGGCCCCTCAGGCTATCAGCAGTGGGAAGAGGTTAATTTGCATCTCTCCAATGTAATTTGATATAATAAAATTATTACCCAGCCCTCAACCAGCTCCTTCCACCCTAATGGAATGCATTTAAAATCAAAGTTAAGAGTAAAGATTCCACTACCTTGAATTGTTGAAAATTTTTGGTGACTGAAGTTTCCATGATGATGTGAATGATAACATCATACCTAATGGAGCAAGATTTCTTTATTTTGATTGTTTTTTAAGTTTCCCTCTCTGTCCTCATTCTCTTGGCTCTCCTTTTTCTTTTCCTGTTGCTTACTGAAATATGCTTAGTCTAAGGCTTGACATCCTGGCACACCATTCTTGTGTGTTAGAACTGCACCCTCAGACCAACGTGTTATCCACTCCCATCCTCCCAGAAACAAAGGCTACTCTTCTATTAATGGACCCTTCCCTTTAAAAGTAAAGAATAAATTCATTTTTCTTTCCTGTCATTTCACTAAAATGGAGTCAGTTAAACCATTCCTGATTTGAATGTAGTATATACAGTCAATTATGCTTATACAGTGAAGGGGCAAGTTATCAAAGAAGGAGGATGTTTGGCAGAGAATGGGAAACTTGGGGCAACAGAATGAATAATGGTCCCACAGATTACCTAGAACAGTTGGATCTGATGAAGTCCAAATAATGAGGGTAGGTTGTCTAATGATTGTGGGGGTAGAGGTTGTTGTTTTGTCTAGAACTCAATCTCAAACATCACCAGGAAGCTGACAAACATGATAAAATGGATCTGTAGTCACTGAACTGATAAATATTCATAAGAAAATTTAAACATATTTTGAGGAAAAAACAGATATTATAATCACTTCTGACTTTTTACTTAAAATGACAACAACAGCCCTTTAACACCAAATTAAAAAAACAAAATATTTGGCTTACTCTTGAATGGAGTATTTGCTGAAAGTGTCTATATGTGGAATATTATATTTAGCGCATGGAAACAGCTTGAATTCCCCTTCCTTCTTCCCTTTAGACAGTTGTCAGTACAGGTAGTTTTATATAATTTCTACATATCTGTATTTGCAGGACAATAGGAATGCCTGAGTCCTATAACATTTTTGTTTTCAATTAAAAAAAGCATAAGCTCTACTAAGATGCTGTCACAGATGACAAACAAATCCATAAAAGGTAAATTACAATTTCTTAAAAATGAGCTATGATACATATATTTAGCTATAGTCACCAAGCACTAAGCAAATGCTTCCCGTGTTTAGACAAAAGCACTGACTTTTTGCTGTGGGAGGTCACGTGTTTCGAAGTGACAATTCAAGTAGGAGTATTTTGCCCCTTGAGTCTTCACTCAGAGTATTTT